ACGTCGCAGTCCCTGGCGGCCCGCCGCTGACGCAGGGGTCCCGGCCTCCAGCCCAGCGCGCCCCGGCCGGGACGCAGCGCCGGAGGTCGCGCTCGGTCGCAGCTGCTAACTGTGCGTCTCGGCACCCCGGTCACAGGGTTGGATCGCTCGGTGTTCGCGCCGAAGCTCCGCAGGTCGCGGCCAGTCCCCGCGGTCTGGGCACCAGGGCCGCAGCCCGAGCCTCAAGGCGGGCAGGGACCGCGGACGGCCGGACAGGTGAGCGCTGGGTCGGCTGTGGCCTGAGAGCTGGCGTCTGGTGCGTTTACCCTGGATGCGGTTCGGCCCGTGTCGGTGCCGCTTTGGCAGGGTTGTGTTTGTATCTGAGTGTGTGTCGCGTGGGCGGGGGCGTGAGAGACCATCAGAACCAATTGGGAAGAAAAACGGAGGTGCTAGACTGGCTCCTGTTGGGCCCCAGCCGGCTTGGCGGGACACAGCAGCCCAGGGGCCGGAGCCCTGGAAAGGCTGCCCCTTCTGGGAAGGGCGCCGGCTCCCCATTCCACCCCGGCCTGTTGCTCCATATGCAACAAGTGACTGAATGTTGCTCTCCTGCCCAAGGTCAGCCCGGGGTGTGGCGGGGCAGCGGCTAACAGTCTCCAGCTGGATGGCCAAGATTAGCCATGATGACGTCCCCGACGGCATGGCTTTCTCCCCAGCAGTTGTCTTGATGGGTGTCAGGTCACGTTCCCGGGGCCCTCTGTCTCAGGGCTTCACCCAACTCCCTAGAGGCTGGTCTCCATGGCACCCTGGATGCCCACCTGCATCTTAGCATCGCTGTCCAATGGCAGGAGCCGGTAATGCACCGCTTTTGGCCAGTTGACTGCCACACACGATGTAAGCTTGGCAGTGTCAGTGGGCACGGCTGGAGGTGATGGTAGTAGGACAGCCTCGTGTCCTGTGCCATCTGCGCCATCTGCACAACTTTATTCTGAATAAAGGCAGTCTGCTAACTTCATTGCTAAATATGGTTTAATTTGTGTATCTTTGTAAAGCTTTCTAATAAAGTATTCACAAATAGGGAGCAGTGTCTTCCTGCCCCGTCCTGGGGCTTCTGTCCTCTTGAGAGACGGGCAGCCCCTGTGTCATTGCGGTGGCAAAGCCTTGCAAAGCTGCCTCTGAAACCGTTTTTCTCCAGACCAGTTCACTGGCTGCCCGCTTGGTTTGCTGTGCTCTGTGTTGGCAATGGCTGCTGGCTTTCCACTAATCTTGGTGGCTGAGCGAATTTGTGACCCAGGAAAGAAGAAGTAGATGCCTGGGATGCTGACTCAAGGGTACTGTGTGCTCTGAGGTGAGTTCTGGTTTCTCTGAAGCACATTTGCCGACCAACTCATAACTCTAATGGCCCCACAGCTTTTGTAGACATTAGGAGCATCTGAGAGCCTCCAGGTGCCAGCCTGGGGCTTGACTCCAGAACCCAGAATAGTCAGCATGTCCAGCATTTCTGGCAAAGGAAACAAGTTGGGGACCCTGTAGGTCAGTGTCCCCCAAGATGGTGGCGTGTGGTGCCCGGATGCAGTGTCAGTCACACGTTTAGGAGTGGGATGCAGGATTGCTCGGCACCTGTTCTGTGGTTTGAGGTAAGGCCAGCCGTGTGTGGAGCTGGGATTGCTGCAGCTGGTAGATGCTGCTGGGCAGGGCAGTACACGCTGGGCTGGGTTACAGTCCCACAGGGATGTGGCTGTCCCCACCAGCCTTCAGCAGGTCAGCTGAGGCCCTGGGGCAGCCGTGGCCAGAGGTAACCAGCTTGCAGAGCGCTTGGGGCTCACAGGAGCCTTCCCCCGTGCCCAGAGCTGGCAGGGTTAGGGCAGGACAGTGGGAGCAGGTGGCACAGAGGCCTCCTGCTCTTTAGCAGTGGCAGTAGTCAGGAGGCTGAGGCAGGGTGGGTCCTGGGAGGAGGTGTTGGTGGTGAAGTGTCCCTGGGTGCCTCTGTCCCAGAGGGTCTGGGTGGAGTTCGCCAGGACAGGGCCCCCATGCCTGTCACTCCCTGGGGGTTCTCCACAGTGTCCTGGGCAGTGCAGCAATCAGCAAGATTTGCAGTGGGGCTAGCCTGGATGCTGAGTGCCCCACGCCCTTTCCTAGACACGCTCAGAGCCTGCAGGGTTGCTCCAAACCAGCCCTGAGCAGGTGCTTGTCCCGTGGCCTGCAGAGGACAGTGATGGCCAGGGAACCCCAAGGGACAAGGCCTCTGTCCAAAAGCTCCATTCCGAGATGGCCAGGCTCCCTGCAAGGCCCTGTGCCCCTTGCTCTCTGTGAGCAGTGGAGGTGGCAGGCTCCCCTGCCACCCTACAGGAGAGATTTCCTAGAGAGGGGCGCAGCAGCCACATACCAGCTGGGGGTCCTTCCCTCGCCTGTCTGGGTCTCATTGCTTCCTCTTTGCTCCTGGCCCTCTATGTCCTGGTGAGACCGTTTGGGCTGAGGGAGAGAGCCCTGAGGCTGAGGGCAGAAGACCTGCACAGTGGGCGGAAGGTGCCCAGGGACAACAGTCATGAAGACCAGGCCCAGAGCCCTGGGAGGAGGGCAGAGGAAAAGCCACCTACCTGCTCCCTCTGCGTGTCCTCGGATGCCAAGTCCAGGTGCCGAGGAGCCCTGTCCCTGTGTGTCCCGTGGTGACTGTGTCCTGGGGGACAGTGGGGTGCCTCAGCTCTTGGGGGACAGTGGAGGCTCAGCTCGAGAGAAGCCCCAGCCAGTGCAATCCATAGCAACTGGCAGATGCTGCTTTTGACCCTGGAGAGCCTGCGATCTGGACAGGGTGCAGGAGAGAAGTGACATGGAGGTTCCCCAGGCCACAGGTACCACCAGGCCTGGACATTGCAGGGCGCTCACACATCCTGGTGCCCAGGGGAGGCCGTGGAGCGAGTGAGTGCCCTGAGCCTTGCCTGGGCTCCTCCAGGCCCTCTTTCCTTGGGGACCCCTGGGCATTGGGGTGCTGGTTCTGGGCAGGAGGCCTGCCCCAGGTCCTGGCTTCTCTACGCCAACTCTTGTGGGCGCTGGTGGTAGGTTGGCCAGGGCTGAGAGCTGTCTGGTTGTGCTGAGAACACAGGCCTAACAGCTGGCAGGTGCCGGCCACTATTGGCTGCTCTGTCCTGGGCTGGGTGCTTCTGGAAGCCTGCTGCTGCCCTTTGTGCAGGAGTCACTGGCTGAGGCCTGGTCTTGATAGCCCTGGACCCTGCAGCCACCTGCAGCATCCTCTGTTGGCTCTCTGCTCCTTTGTGTTTGGCTCGTGCTTGGGGCGCTCTTCCATGTCTTGCTGGAAAGGCCCAGCAGGTGTGGCCAGCGGACCATCGGCCAGCAGCGGCAGGTGTGACTGAGGTGGGGCTGCTGGAGGAGGAGGACTGCTGTCTGGTGCAGGTGGCTGTGCTTGGGTCTTTCCCCCTGTCCTTGGGCTTGGTGCTGGGCTGGGCTTGGTTTGGTGGGCAGCAGGGCCTGCAGCTGGGTGTCCGCTCACACGTGTGTGGGTCTGTGGTCGACTGCAAGGAGCCCTGGTCTTGCTAAATAGGAGTGTTCGGGTAGAGGGGACCCCCCATGTGTCCCCTGGCCGTGGTTAATTCTGACAGCTCCTGGCAGGAAAGAGCAATGTGTGGACCTGCTATGGGTGGGCCTGTGCCCTCGGGCAGTGCCACCACCATGTGAGCAAGTCCTACAGGGAGCGGGAGCTGGCAGAGCTGGTGCTGCGGTCCGGTCTGGGTGGCCTTGTAGTTCTGTGAATGGAGGCAGGGTGACCTCACCCAGGACAGCCCCCATGGGGCCTGGGCATTGCCAGGGAGGGCATGGGGCTGGCCAGCCGGTGGAACTGTATTGCTTGCCAGCCACGGTGGTGCTGCTCAGGCGGGATGTGCTGGGCCAGCCAGGGGCTCAGGGTCTGTGGTCATCGCAGGAGCCGAGTGCTGTTTCTTCTGCTCCTGTGGGCTTTGGTCGCTCCGCCGGGCAGGGGCTGGCCAGGGCGCACATGGGATGTCTAGTGACAGCCACATTGGCTGGCCTCACAGCTGCCAGGGTCAGGGGGAAGCTGAGCAGCAGTATATGGGGGACCCTGGGTTGCAGAGTGGCACAGGGAAGGCAGAGCTGGCTGCTGGAGGTGAGTACCCTGGTCTGGGGCTCGCAAGCACCAGAGAGCTGAGGGCATCCTCACTGAGAGTTCTGACTCCAGCAGAATGGGCTCGACCTCCCTGTGCGCAGAGCAGGAGGCCTCCAGAGCCCACCGAGGGGAGGGAGGGCCATGCCATCTGGGCCAGGAGAGCATGGACTGTTAGCACATTGGTGCCCACCTGCAATCCCAGCTACACAGGAGGCTGAGGCCAGAGGACAGGAAGTCCCAGCCTGGCCTGGTGTGGCCAAGCCCCGCCTTGGACAAGAAGGGCTGGGAATGTAGCTCAGTGAGAAGGCTCTGGGTTCAGTCCCCATACCGATGGATAAATCAGGGAATCTGTCTATTCCTGAAGCAGCCCTGGCCTCCTGGGTGTGGGTCGGGTAGGGAGAGCAGCAGAAGGCTGAGCTGGCCGAGAGATTCACACCCAAAAGCCCAGCCTCAGGGTGGTACCCTGTGCTGCTGGAGGCTCCTCATCCTGGCCTGGTTCTGAGGCAGCCCCCGACCTGGCCTCTGCTGTGGCTGCAGACACGTGGGCTTGAGCCTGGCTCTGGGCTTCCTCCCTGCCAACTGCAGCTGTGGAGTGGGGGCCCTGAACCGGCCCAGCCCAGGTGACAGGGAAGGGACCCTGGAGCAGGCCCACGTGGAGGGTGACCAAATGTTGGGTGTCCTGTGGCTGAGCAGAGCCCTGGCTGGAGCTGGTGGCATCACCCCCCTACCCCAGTCTTCAGCGGTGCCCTAGCTGGTCTGCAGAGGCTGAGCCTGTGTCCTGGGACAAGGTTTCTAGTGTCGTCTCCCCTCGCAGGGCCCCTTCCCTAGCCACAGAGCCTACCAGTTAGAAGAGTAGAGGTGGCTCCTGGAGCCTTCTTCCTGTCTAGAGCTTGTCTTTCTAATTCATATGTTTTAGCTGGGCACAGTTGTACACATCTGGAACCCTAGCATTCTGGGAGGCTGAGGCAGGAGGATCACAAGTTGAAGCCCAGCCTGGGCAACACAGGGTTAGCCCTAAGCTTAACCCAGTACTGCAAACAAAACAGAACACCAGCAAATACATTCTTATTAACAAGACTTTATTCAAGATTGGTATAATACAGAGTGCTCAGGCCATAGTCACACAAAGTGAGTGCAGGACCATGGCTGGTGGTCAGCTCCGGAATGTGCTGGAGTTGCTGTCCCATTTGCAGACCACTATGAATGGGGTCACTGTAGTTCAGGCTGTCTTGGACTTGCTGCCCTTCAGTGTCCATTTGTGAGCTTTGCCTGTCTGTATATATAAAAATCTTTTTTGTTTTCGGTACTGGAAATCAAACTCATGACCTCATGCTTGCCAGGCAGGTGCTGTGCTGCTGAGCTATGTCCCCAGCCCTGTCTGTATATATAGTGAGGAGGGTTTGTGTTCCTTTGGGGATTAAAGGAGGCTGAGGCGGGAGGATTGCAGCTTCAAGTCTGGCTTGGGTATCATACAGACTCAGTGAGGCCCTGTCTCAGAATAAAAAGGTTTGCGAGCCAGGAATGGTGGCGCACGCCTGCAGTTCTAACACTCAGGAGGCTGAGGTAGCAGGATTGCCTGAAGTTTGAGGCCAGCCTGGGCTACAAAGTGAGTTCAAGGCCAGCCTGAACTGCTTAGTGAAACCCTGTCTCAAAAGGACAAAAAAATAAACAAACAAAAAAAAAAACCACACAAGCCACTTCAGAGCCCAGTTCTTCCTGAGACACACAGACAGGAGCTTCGGAAGGTGGCGCCCGTGTGCTCAGAACTGGCCCACATGTGAGGCCAAGGATGGTCCTGCCCATGGCAGTGTCTGCCCTTGTGGGGCTGTCTCTGGTCTCATGCTCCTTGCTGCTTTGCTTTGTCTTTCTTATCCCGATTGGTGCCCCTCAGCCCCTGGGCAGTTCTCAAGGGGCCACGGGGGTTGGGCATCTCCACTCACGCAGCCCCACGCATCACTTGGGTACGCAGAGAAATAGTCTGTTTTCTCGTGGAGCTGTATCGCTTTCAAACTGCTGTCTTCAGCGCAAATCCAGTCATTTTAAAGTGCAGGGCTGGGACCACCAATGGTGGTAGAAGCCTCACCTGGCCGGGCAGGCCCGAGTCCCATCCCCCACTTCAGTCACAAAGAGAAGCAAAAGAAACCAAAGAACAAGTACACACTGATGCTGTGCTGGGGGCCCAGCCACTAGCACCGGCCCTCCGTCCTGAATCCTTGGCCTCGAGGCTGTGGCTGCTCGTGCTGGCCGAGCACCGCGCTGCCCACCTCCCCTGCCCAGTATATCCACTTGCGCCCCCCCCCCCAACCGTGCTGCCTGCAGGTTCTTCAGGGTTTGTTTTCTGCACTCGGGCCCTGGTCCTCTCCCAGGACAGGTGTCCTGCGGGCCGACTATGGCCTCCCCAAGGTCACCTGAGGGTGCTCTGTGCCGCAGGTCCCTGCAGCCTGCCCGCCATGGACCCCGACCCCCAGGCGGGTGTGCAGGTGGGCATGCGTGTGGTGCGCGGTATGGACTGGAAGTGGGGCCAGCAGGATGGAGGCGAGGGCGGCGTGGGCACCGTGGTGGAGCTGGGCCGGCACGGCAGCCCCTCGACGCCTGACCGCACCGTCGTGGTGCAGTGGGACCAGGGCACCCGCACCAACTACCGAGCCGGCTACCAGGGCGCCCACGACCTGCTGCTCTACGACAACGCGCAGATCGGTGCGTGGTGGTGCCTGAGGCGGGCAGGCTGGCCGGGTGGGACGAGGGCCCAGGGCCCCCTGCTGACCCCATGTCACCCCGCCTGCAGGCGTCCGACATCCCAACATCATCTGTGACTGCTGCAAGAAGCACGGGCTGCGGGGCATGCGCTGGAAGTGCCGCGTCTGCTTTGACTATGACCTTTGCACGCAGTGCTATATGCACAACAAGCACGACCTCACCCATGCCTTCGAGCGCTACGAGACCGCCCACTCGCGCCCGTGAGTTCCCGCAGGCCTAGTCCTCGGCCCTGCCGCTCCCAGGGAGGGAAGGCGGGTCCCTCCTGAGCCATCCTTGAGGAAGGTCCAGAGTCACGGTCACTCCTGGAAAGGCCCCTGAGTCCCCAAGCAGGGCTCCAAGGGAGGAGCTGTGGCCAGGGTCACCTCTGTGCCTGCACAGCCCAAAGCTGCAGACGGGCACTGGGGGGCGCTGTGTGTGTGTGGCTACACGGGCAGCGGTGGCAAGCGCTGTGGAGCCAGCTGCTTGCACCGCTGGGAATGGCCCTGGGCAGGGGCTGGGAGAGGGCTATCTGCAGGACAGGGCAGGCGCCCGGGACATCACTGGGCACCCCCGCCCCAGCCCTGCAAGTGGAGAGCAGTGTGTGCCCTAGGCCCAGGTGCTTGTTGCCCTCTGTGCTGGTGGCCGGGCGCGTGCCTGCTGATCGGGAGTCTGAGGGGCTGGGCTCTGGGGGCCTGGCTACTGCCCTGCAGCCCCAGCCGGGAGAGCACTGCCCTCCATGGCTCAGGCTGGCTCTCTTGCAGTGTTGTGCTGAGTCCCCGCCAAGGCCTCCAGCGCACCCCGCTCAGGGGCATCTTCCAGGGAGCAAAGGTGGTGCGAGGCCCCGACTGGGAGTGGGGCTCCCAGGATGGTGAGTGGTGGCTGGGGTGGGCAGCTGGGCAGCTTGGACTCGGGACGCAGTCCTAGCCCTGTGATGGGGACACTGTCTCCCCAGGGGGAGAAGGGAAGCCAGGCCGTGTGGTGGACATCCGTGGCTGGGACGTGGAGACCGGCCGGAGTGTGGCCAGTGTGACCTGGGCAGACGGAACCACTAACGTGTACCGCGTGGGCCACAAGGGCAAGGTGGACCTCAAGTGTGTGGGGGAGGCTGCCGGCGGCTTCTACTACAAGGAGCACCTCCCGCGGCTCGGTAGGGGGCGCCCCCGCTGCCCGCCCGCCCGGGCCCTGGGCACCCTAGCGCTGCTGAGACCTGGCCTGCCCCACCCCGCAGGCAAGCCGGCTGAGCTGCAGCGCAGGGTGAGTGCCGACGGCCAGCCCTTCCAGCGCGGGGACAAAGTCAAGTGTCTGCTGGACACAGACATCCTGAGGGACATGCAGGAAGGTCATGGCGGCTGGAACCCCAGGATGGCGGAGGTGAGCGGCCTGGCCCGCTGAGCCCTGTGTGCCCTCCCCTCCCAAGCCCTCTGCCTGCCCCAGCCATGGCCTCCATGACCCGCCACAGTTTATCGGACAGACGGGCACCGTGCACCGCATCACAGACCGTGGGGACGTGCGTGTGCGGTTCAACCATGAGATCCGCTGGACCTTCCACCCCGGGGCTCTCACCAAGGTGCCTAGGTGGCTGGGCCCAGCCTCCTCTGGGTACCTCCTCGGCTGTTTGGGTGGCCAGGCAGAGCCAGGGTACCTGTGCCCAGGAGTTGCAGATCTGGAGGATGGTGGGGCCCAGAGGAGGGGCAGCTGCCAGAGCCCTGGGCTGGAGGGGTGGTGGCAGGCCGGGCATGAGTGCCGGGCTCCTCTCTGAGGTCTCCCTGTGGGCACAGCAAGGGCAGATGTGACTCCTGTGAAGACAGAGGCCAGGATGGAGCACAGAGGAGGTGGGCGAGGAGTGTGGAGCAGGATGGGATGGCGGGTGCGGGTGGCAGACAGTGTATGAGGGGCGCAGGCCGTGGAGGGTGGCTCTTCTCGGTAAGGTGGCGGGGTAGTTTCAGGGCAGGTAGTGCACAGAGGAAGCAGCTTTCTGCTGTGGGGTACAACTTCCGCCCCACCTTGGCCCTGCCCTGCCCTGGTATCCCTCTGGTTCCAAGCCATCCTGGCCTCTCCCTGGAGGTGACTTCCATCCAGAGTGGACGCTGCTGCCCAGCTGCCTCGGCTTTCACCCCACAATGGGCCGGGCCGCCCAGGGCTGCTTTGGCTACCTGGGACCCTGTCCAGCCAGATCCTCCGATGGTGCTTGGGGTACTGTCCAATGTGGCTCCATGGGGGCGCCTTCCACCACGCTGAGAAGCCAGGTGTGGCTGGGGGGACCCTCCTACCTGTCTCTCTGCCACCAGCACAACTCCTTCTGGGTGGGAGACGTGGTCCGGGTCATCGACGACCTTGACACCGTGAAGCGGCTGCAGGCTGGGCATGGCGAGTGGACAGATGACATGGCTCCTGTGAGTCCCCTGTCCTGCTGCTGACCACCCCTTCCCCGCAGACCCGCCGTGACCCCGCCTCTCCCCGCAGGCCCTGGGCCGTGTTGGCAAAGTGGTGAAGGTGTTTGGTGATGGCAACCTGCGAGTGGCAGTTGGTGGCCAGTGGTGGACCTTCAGCCCCTCCTGCCTGGTGGCCTACCGGCCTGAGGAGGACGCCAACCTAGATGTGGCTGAGCGCGCCCGGGAGAACAAAAGTATGGCTCCTGCCCTAGTGGGTGGCTGGTGGGAGCCAGGGTGGGCCTGCCCAGCCCTAAACCTGCCTGCGCCCAGGCTCGCTGAGCATGGCCCTGGACAAGCTGCGGGCCCAGAAGACTGACCCAGAGCACCCTGGGAGGCTGGTGGTAGAGGCGGCACTGGGTAACGTGGCACGGGCAGTGGACCTGCTGCGGAGGCATCCAGAGCAGGCAAGTTCTGCCCTGCCTACCCCAAGGGTCAGCAGAAGGCCAGGCAGGACCTGGACTTATCATTGGCTCCCCTGGCAGGTGGACAGCAGGAACCAGGGCAGGACCGCCCTGCAGGTGGCCACCTACCTGGGACAGGTGGAGCTGGTGCGTCGGCTGCTGCAGGCACGAGCAGGCGTGGACCTCCCGGATGAGGAGGGCAACACCGCACTGCATTATGCGGCCCTGGGGTGAGACTTGGTGGGCTGGGGGTCCGCAAGGGCTGAGCCTGTGGCCCAGCCAGCAGCACAGTGTCCCTTCCTCTGCCCTCAGGAACCAGCCTGAGGCTGCCCGGGTGCTTCTGAGCGCGGGCTGTGGGGCTGATGCACTCAATGGCACCCGGAGCACAGCCCTGCACGTGGCAGTGCAGAGGGGCTTCCTGGAGGTGGTGCGCGTCCTGTGTGAGCGTGGCTGCGACGTCAACCTGCCCGTGAGTGTGGGCTCCTGGGTGCCCTGACCCAGTGACCGCAGAGGAAGTTGCTGTGGAGTGACCACTGGCTCCCGGCTGCAGGATGCCCACGCAGACACACCCCTGCACTCGGCCATCTCGGCGGGCACCGGTGCCAGTGGCATCGTAGAGGTCCTCACAGAGGTGCCAGGCGTCAACATCACTGCCACCAATAGCCAGGGCTTCACGCTGTTGCACCACGCGGCCCTCAAGGGCCATGCGCTGTGAGTTGGGGTGGGCACCCTGCCAGCAGCCAGCCTGGGCCACCCTGGGCCAGCCTGGACAGACCTCCCTGCTCCCACAGAGCCGTCAGGAAGATTCTAGTGCGGGCTCGGCAGCTGGTGGATGCCAAGAAAGAGGATGGCTTCACTGCCCTGCATCTGGCCGCCCTCAACAACCACCGAGAGGTCGCCCAGATCCTGATCCAGGAGGTAGGTGGGGGTCCCTGGCCTCCCCAGGGATGGGAGCCGGGCCAAGCTGAGGCACTGGGCTGAGCCGGCACCCCCTCCCCAGGGCCGCTGCGACGTGAACGCGCGCAACCGCAAGCTCCAGTCCCCACTGCACCTGGCAGTGCAGCAAGGCCACGTGGGGCTGGTGCCGCTGCTGGTGGACGCTGGCTGCAGCGTCAACACGGAGGATGAGGAGGGGGACACAGCCCTGCACGTGGCCCTGCAGCGTCATCAACTGCTGCCTTTGGTGGCTGACAGGGCTGGGGGGGACCCAGGGCCCTTACAGCTGCTGTCCAGGGTGAGGAAGTAAGGAGTTGGTGTGGAGAGGTGGGCCTGCGGCTCCAAGTCGCTGTGGTGATGCTGGGGGTAGCCAGGCTTTCTGGGAGGGGCGGCGCTGGGGACAGGTTTGTGGGAGCCGTCCTCGTGGTCCTCACCAGCATGTGTTGTGGGGGCCTCCAGCCTGCAGGGTCCCTGCGGCCTCAAAGGGGTACCTGTGGCTTTTGCCCAAGAGCAGGGGCACTGCTCGGGCCTGCCAGCACCCCTCACAGGCTTCTGTCCTGCGGCCCAGCTGCAGGCCTTGGGGCTCCCAGGCGGCACAGAGCTGACAGTGGGCGTTGCAGTCGCCTGCTTCCTGGCGCTGGAGGGCGCCGACGTGACCTACGCCAACCACCGCGGCCGGAGCCCCCTGGACCTAACCACGGAGGCCCGGGTGCTCAAGGCGCTGCAGGGCTGCGCCCAGCGTTTCCGGTGAGCGCCGCGGGGGAGGAGGGTGCTGGCTGCAGCAGGGCCTTTTCAAGCCCCTGCCTCCGATTGCAGGGAGCGGCAGGTGGGCGGCGGGGGCGGCCTGGCCCCTGGCCCCAGGCTCACACGCAGCACCCCTAACACCGTGACGAATCTGCACGTGGCCGCCCCCGGGCCGGAGGCCGCGGAGTGTCTGGTGTGCTCGGAGCTGGCGCCGCTGGTTCTGTTCTCACCGTGCCAGCACCGTACCGTGTGCGAGGGTGAGTGTGGGGGACCCGGGGACCCGGGGCCTTGGCCCGCGCGCGGCAAACCCGCTGCTGTCCCCGCAGAGTGCGCGCGCAGGATGAAGAAGTGCATCCGGTGCCAGGTGGCCATCAGCAAGAAGCTGCGCCCAGGTGGGTGAGGGGCTGAGGGCGGCGCGGGGGGCTGGCCCTGCCCGGCTGACCCCGCGCCCCGCCCCGCAGATGGATCCGAGGTGGCGGGCGCTGCCCCCGCGCCCGGCCCGCCACGGCAGCTGGTGGAGGAGCTGCAGAGCCGCTACCGGCAGATGGAGGAGCGCATCACCTGCCCGATCTGCATCGACAGCCACATCCGCCTAGTGTTCCAGTGCGGCCACGGCGCGTGCGCGCCCTGCGGCGCCGCGCTCAGCGCCTGCCCCATCTGCCGCCAGCCCATCCGCGACCGCATCCAGATCTTCGTGTGAGCGCCGCGCGCGCCCCGTTTTATAAAGAGATGCTCGGACCTTGCCTCTGTTGCCTGCTGCGTGGGGCCCCGCCGCCCCGCCCCGACCTGCCTGTGCGGGGCTCGGCGCCGAGCGGGGGCGCGGGAGGGGGGCCCTGCAGTTTGTGGCAGCGAATACTTCACCGCGGGAGGGGCGGGCGCTTTCCAAGAACCACCCGCGCCGCGCCAGCTGCTTGGCGCTGTCGCCAGGCCGGGACTGGCCGCTCTGGCCCGGAGCCTGCGGTCTCCACCCGCCCCGGGGTCTAGGCCGTCCCGTCCAGCCCTCCGGCCCGGGCACCTCGCCCACGCCCGCCAGGCGTTGTGG